TGCACTTCAAATTATACATTTTCAGTTTCCATACAATCCTCTTCATTTATTGAAACAAATAAAAATGTGTAAACTTGTTCACAGTGTTTCTTCAACTCTACCGACAACAATTATAATATTTTAACAAATGCAAAGGATATAATTTGAATTTCTAAATAGACAAATATTTTTTTATTCAAAAATACATAAATGTACAACACATCACATTCAACCTTAATTGTATCTTTGAAAATGGGGAAGAAGGCCTGCATAAAGCCAGATGTGTTATATTTTCAAAGAAATAAAGGTGCAAAGCGAAACATTTTTCACTGATTCAGTCTCAAAAGGGAACCAGGAAAATTAGTTTTTTCATGTTTTTGGGTTGCATCATAGCCATAGAATTCAAAGTTAGCAGCAACATATGTAACAAAGGCATTAAAATAATACATTTAGTAGCAGTGCTGAAGACAGCTGAATTAACAGAGAATAGTGACTGCTGCATGCAGCCTGAGCCTTTTCATGAACATTGCTATATCAGCATTCTGATGTTGCTGTAATTAGGTCTCCATGAAGCATACAGCTCATCCATGCAAGTGTAATGTAATGTTTCCACAGCAACTCTTGTTACTAGGATCTCTTTACAATGAAAGCTCTTTTACAAAAATTTAATCCCTTCTATTATACCTCCTAAACTTCAAATTTTGTCTTGTTACAAACCTTTGATATTTTTTTAAGGATTGAGTATTCTAGATCCACACAAAGCAGTCCCTAACTCTGAACCAACAACAAAATATTTTTTTATATTTTTAACAAGTCCTCTGAGATTTGCGACATGAATTAGTATTCTGTCTCCTAAAATACGATACTCTACAAATATCCATAGCAATAAAAAGCTCTAATTTAAAAAATAAATATACTTAATCTCAGGATAAATACGGCTTATATGTGAAGGTCTACAGGTTTTATTAAATAACAGATAAGCTTAAAGAAGATCAATGAACAGTCCAGACAGGTCATGGATATATAGGTCAAACCAATCAAGAAATCGCTCCTTTAGGAGGTTTTCTGACAAACTGCCAAGATGCCCAAAGTTATCGTTGTTGAAGTAGGAAGCATTGGTGATGCATTGCACAAGCATGGTCTTTATATAAAGAAAGGCATTTAAAAAAAAAATCTATCTTGCTTACATATTGCCAAAAGCACATGTGGGAGACAAAGCAAAAATATTCTAGAATTTAAATTGCTTTATGTATATGACACCCAAAATATTTTTGCCTAAAACATTTTAGCAAAATGTCCAGTGTCGAGAAAAACTAACACAAAACATCAGCCTGAATACACAATTTGAACAATGAGACATGGTGGTGGCAGCATCATGTAGTGGAGATGTTGTTTTGGCAGGGGCATGGGAGCTGGTCGAAGTTGGTGGACGGAGCTAAATACAGGGTAGGCCTTAAAAAGGAAGATGCAAGATGATACAAAAGCCAACCAGAGCTAGAATGGTTTTGTTTACATCCAAGCATATCTACTCAGTATGTCGGTAAACAAAAGCTCCATTCAGATTTCGGACCAGTTTGGAATTTGTCGGAAACTAGTAAACTAATGCAGTTGAGCTAGTTTGTAAAGAAAAGATTGTTGAGACTATCAGTCTCCAGATCTGAAGAGATCTCTGAAGAGCATGTTTTGTTGTTTTTTTTTCCCAAGAGATTTTTCAGAAATTCAGGCATGTAATGGGAAGAGAGAGAATGGGAAAAACATGAATCAGGTTCTAAGTTTGGAATAGTAAGGACCATCAATTTCAGTAGAAGTACTCAACTGCTATATCAGAGTGCTGCTCCACACTACAAAAATGATCCAGAAATAAGTAGACATTTCTTAAATTAAATGTATTTATTCTTAATTTGAGTAGGTAAATGAGATAGTTAGCCAATGGAATGAGTATTTTTACTCTTAAAATAAGATAATTAGATAATATGCACTTGAAATAAGACAATGCTGTTGTATTCTTATTTTAAGTGTAAATTGTCTTGTTCCATTGGCAAAATGTGTCATTTACCTCCTCAATCCAAGCACAAATGCACTTATTTTAAGAAAAAATTACTTATCTAGATTTCAATTTTTTCCAGTGCATAATTAATATAATTCTGCAACAAACTTAGTGGGGCTAGGCTGAAAGGACTGCCACACGTCACTACTTAACTTTTTTCCTTTCAATTCATAATTTTGAACTGTTTTGTGATTGTCTAACTACATCCAAATAAAATACAATCAATATTTTTTTTTTATTGCTGGCAGTAGATTTAGACTTTTGCCATTTAAAAGTATTTTAATCTCAACATACCATAGTACATTTACGCTAAAACTTGTACATATTTGAGGTGGAACAATGGGTACAAATGGGTCAAAACCTTTGAAACTGACAAGTGAGAGCAATCTAGACTTGTACAATAGACAGCCTTATACAAATATCCTCTTTGCCTCCATTTATGGAGGCATCATCTTAGCAGTCTCATGGAAATTTTATACAAGCTTAAGTAAAATTGGCTCCAGCTGCTGAGGAGGAACCCAAAAATCCAGCAGCTTACGAGCACCGCAATCTCTTAATGACCAAAGTTTATGGAATCACATTGAATATGACCCCGCTAAATTGAAACTACATAAAAAAAAATCCTTCAACCCCATTTCAAGATACTGCAAAGGACATTTCCTCCTTGATTGCACAATGTGGCTGATATTCATGATAATTTACCTTTGTTACGAATTTTTACAAACATATCTACACACATGCAGCTTTATACAGCATGTACACTATATTTTCTTTTCAGTAAAACCTGTGTAGGTGACAAGTAGGAAATGGCTCAAGTTACATAACGATCTAGGTATTTTATAATTTATTATCAGACAAAAAAAAAAAAGAGTAGAAAATAAGAGACATCAGAAGTAGATTTTCACAGTTGTGTTTCCTAGTTTCAATGTCCATCTTTGCCCACAGATGTAAGGTCAAAGAAACCTGTCCAGCACAGGGCTCGAAACAATGTCTTTGATATGTAAATTCTTTTTATGTTTATCTGCATATTTGTAGAAAAATATGAAGGTCCAAAAATGACATTTTGGCTATGACCGAACGTTTCTGAATCTTTCTGTAACCTTTGGTTGCTGCAAACAAGCATTAACTACAAAATGCATTTCATTGATCCTCAGGTCTTTACAATCATTTCCTTCTTTTGGAACATCTCAGTCAACAGGAAATCACTACATGTGTGAAGACATCACATAAGTACAATCATTTAGATTTTTTTCTGGATATAGTACCATACTTAACCACATTTTTAATTCCCTCTGGAGTTCACAGAAAAAAATGAGCTGCCACTGTATATATTTATAATTGGAGCTGATCAATATGCACTGCAATGGGAGAGCTGAAGGTGAAAGGGTTTTCAGCAATCATCTTCATAAGAGCTGAGAAAAACAATGTTTTTTGCAAATGGTGATTTCTTTTATTTTTTACAACAGCAAGTTTTCACATGTAGCTACACTTGTCAGTTGAAATAAACTCAGGCTACGGATAGCTCCAGGCATCGTTCATTTCATCTCACAGCTCAGTTTTGATGTACTAACACCCAAGCTTCAAAAGTCCAGGCTGAGGTTATCAAAACAATCAAAGAATTAACTGGTTGGTTTTGAAAAGACCACAGATGTTAAATGGTTTTTACTTTTCTGTCACGTTTTCTTTTAAGGTAACGTTCAAAAATGAAAAAAAAAAAAAAATAGGTATTCCAACTTACGTTCTTAAGTTAGTAAGAAAATATTTACCTGGGGATATGGCACATTCAGGGTTTAAAACAGCTGGGCATTCATACTAGCATATAACACAGTCCTTCCAAATGTAGAGTTGCAGAGTGTTCCTGCAAGTCAACCTTATGGACCAAGAAAAAATATATGTCTGGGTAGGTCCATGTTATGCAGCGACTTAGGTTATGTCTGTAGATATGTCATACTAAAATCACTACAATCATCCTCCATATTACTGATAAAAAACACAGCCTTTACTGTAACACTTACTTTAACTAAAATATAGGTATAAATATATACTCAAAAAATGAAACAAAGGCTTTTACAGAGTTACAGAACATCTATTTATAATACTTTAAGACACACTATAACAACCATTAGAAGTTGTCATAGCAACAATAGTCTATATCCTCCACTTTGAAAGTAAAGAGGTAGAAATAATCAGTTTGACATACGATAACTGTAATTTGTATTTAGTTACATTTGATTGTCCAAACAAATATGATATTGGGCATAAACCAGCAGAAAAGAAAACAATCTATGCAGTATTTTTCCCAGTAAACTAATCTCTAATGCTCCCATTGACATGAAATGCTCATAAGATTTTAGTAACAACCATAGAAATAAAAAAGCTGAGCTGTTCTCACTGAAAGATTAATAAGGATTAAGATGTGTCTGTTACAAATGGTGTCATTGTATTGCATTTCTAAATGCAGACAGACTTTTTTTATGATTCTGGCTATTTCTCTTGTTTGCATTCAATGTTTATTAATTTATTCATCAAACCTTGATTTACAGTTTTTGTATGTGTTGATTTATATACACATCTTTTGGTTGTTTTTTTAAATTGGCCATCGCACCAAATCAGAACTGCTTTTGTTGTCAGTTAATATGCCAACTGAGCAAGTAGAGAATGTTTATCAGTTATAGATGAATGAATGAATTATGTAGGTATGTATTAGAACTAGTTTATAGGACACCATAAAATAAGATTTTTAGTAGAAGTGTATACATGGATGTTTAATAGTGATGTCTACAAGTCCCAGAAGCTATTATGACAGGTTGTTGCTCAATTTTTGTATTCCTGCTTGTGTGTATAAATCTCAGTTTTTGGCAATCTCCTCAAATTTAAATGTGGGCAGAGGAAGAAGCAGACAAATAAAAAAGAAAAGACTAAATATATATATATATATATATATATATATATATATATATATATATATATATATATATATATATAGACTCATTCAGGTAAAAACTGTATGAGCTTTTTGCCTTAGATGATAGTTTTGGAACAGATGTCAATGAGTGTATCAAACTACCTCATGTTTTATTGAATAAAAATATGACAGTATGAGTAATTACAAAGCAAAATTATGAAATACAGGTTATGGTGCAAACAAGAAGACATTGAAAAAGAATATGATTTGACAATACTGATGAAGAAAAAAGTTTTATATGATTGAGGTATAGTAAAGGTTCTGTTGAAATTGTGTCCAGGGGACTAATGTTTCCATGTGACAATAATTCACACTCTATCCAGCAGGAATGCCAGCACTCCATTTGTCAGTCTGTATTTCCAAAGTTGGATGTTTCTTTTTCAAAGATAAATCAGAGAAGGAAAAAAAACCTTCACCTCCACAGTTTTGGTCAACTCTGAATTTTTTTATATTTGAAAAGAAAAGTTTACTTGGACCATAAAGAGACATTACTGTTTTGTCACGCCTAATATAAAAAATAATTTTATAATTTGCTGATTTAGCTCAGCTAGGATTACTTACATGATTTTTAACTGGCTTAATGTTAGAATATTGGGAAATTGTATTTTTTCATAATTTTTCGATGTCTGAAGTTATAATAAATTGGTCATACTCTAATAAAAATAGGAATTTATATGATTATCTTTAACATCTCTTTCTTAATCAGAGGCAAACCAACATTTCTATTCTAAGGTACCATCTCATACCTAAGACCTCCCTGTCTGATTGGGGCAATCAATAAAACTAGCAAGCAAGACTTCAAAATAAGAATTTTGAACATCACCCAGTCTGGATTATCTTTGGGTACAAATTTTAGATGCTTGAAACTCCATCCGTTTAAAAAATTTCTGCAACTACAAAAAGGAAAAGGATAGCAGAATTGAGTTATCACACTAATTACCAACATTTTTCTTTTTTGAATGAGACAACTACTACTTTGATAATTTGTTGATTGTGCATTTTTGTTTTGATTTTGTCTCAGAAAATCAGATAATATATCAACAATTGTAATAAGTAAAAGGAAAAACAAAAAAGCTGCAAAAGAAGAATAAACTTTTCTATGAAACAGAGAGAAATTGTTCATATCTTGGTCCATAGGAGCTGCTCAACAAACTATTCATGTAATTTGTTCTAGAGTCATTTCGATCACCAAGGCTATTCTCTTAATCAAACGTTAATTTCTATATAGGCAATATGCTTTCTCAACTCGTACTTTTCATAATTTCTCTATTGTCTCTTCAATGAATGTACTTTTAAAAGACAAAATTCAAGTTTAAACAAATTGTAGAAGCTTATGTTAATTAGGGCTTTAAAATGTTCTCGCATAGCAATAAAGGACATACTCATTTCATGATAGACAAAAGCAGCAACCCTGTTGTCCTTCAGTTTGAGGCATGCATAAATAAATACAAATATCTCATAAAGTACAGTACTTGTAAAAACACATAAAGGGTTGATTAGGGAGTAGAAGTTTTTGTATCAGTTCCTCCCCCTTAATCCAGCGTAAATTGATTTTGCTTCAGTCTTGTTTCCTTGGTGCTGATTGTTCAGAGCAATAAAATAGTTGCTGTTTGTTGAGTTGACCTGACAAACCTTACAAAGAAATTATTAACTCTGTATAGGTTGGTTTGCTTAGTTTCCTGTATTTTGCATCATACTGCATGATCATCTTTTCATTTCTTTTTTAGTTTATTTTTTTTGGCAGTATTAAACATTTGAGGCATAAAACAAGTTCTGACTCTAAATCCATAACATATTTTTTATCTGTAAATAAGTCTTCATCCTTTGACAATTCCTTGAATGCAATTAGTCTTTTGTATCTTTTGTCCTTGCAGCTATCTTTTGGCAGCTTCTCACTTTAGAGAAAGTCACTCTGTAGCTCATTGGAGAGTTGACTGACAGCAACCTCGGTGAGCACAGATCCTTTAAGTATTCTTGCAGTCTGCTGAGGGCTGTCATCTGTGAAGTTTTCCTTGGCACCGGTGACCATTTCAGTGCAAGGACAGTGTCTGCAGGTCCGATGGTTCTCTGGTAGCCCATTGGACAACCTTGTAGAATTGCATTCATCATTATGATGAGATTGCCTGCAAGTACCCTTCCGTGTAGAGCTGTGTTGACAAATAAATCTACAGAAAGTGTTTCTACAGTGAGCTACATCCCGACACAATGACATGCGGAAGTTGGGTTTAAAGACCAGATAAACGATGGGATTGTAAAGAGTGGAGGATTTGGCAAAAATGGCTGCCAGAGCAAATGCCATTGGTGGTACATCTGTTGAGTGACCAAATGCTGCCCACATGGAAACAATTGCATATGGACTCCATGCTGTCAGGAAACCGATGCAAACTGCCACAGAGAGCTGAAAAGCAAAATGAAAACACTCAAAAGACTTTCCACATGAAATAAAAACGCTGATGCCAACAGAATAAGACAGAGGACTATTGTGTAGTTACCTTGACAATAAGTGTGTGTGCATTGGTAATCTTGTTCTGCGGAGACATATGTTGCTGCACAGCCTGCCGAGAGCCTCGCACAGTCACCAAAATGAAGGTGTAGGACAGAAAAATCACAGTGCAGGGTACAATGTAGCAGAAGAAGAAGAGACAAATGATGTAGCTCATGGCTGCCGAACTGTAGTTGGGAGCATGCCAGTTGATGCAGCATGCTGTTCCATAAGGTTCAGCCCCATACTCTCCCCAACCTGACAGTGGACCCACGGCAAACACTCCAGCGTAGCACCAGATGCCTGCGACGAGCAGGTAGGCATGGCAGTAGGAGAATTTGTTACCTGTAGTGAGAGGATAAGGATAAGTGATTAGCTAATAACCACAGGCAGGAAATAAATCTGGAACAGAAGAGTATAATAAAGTGAAAGTAAATGGTATTTACAAAAAATAAGGCAATTTATATTCTGTGGATCAGGAAGAACCATTCTTTGAAAATTCAATACATTAATTGTCTTGTACAAAGACCCCTTTTTAATACAAGACTGAATAAGTGCTACTTTAACTAAGCCTCTGATGTTTGTTAGAGAAAAATTGGTAAAAATAGCATCAAGACCAAGGAATCATAAATGTGAAGAAGCTTGATAAGGAGTTAGATATCCCAATCTTTGAATGTAACCCAGAACACTGCTCAGTATATCATCCAAAAACAAAGGTATGTAACCATTGGCATTTACATAAATTGAAAGGCCTGTACCAGTTTTCTTTTTGGCAGGCTTGTAAGTTTTAGTCTTTGTCTTTTAGATGAAAATGCTTATTAATTTTAGTCAAATTAAAGCAGTACTAAATAACTTTTTTGGCCCTCCACGACACCTGACTGATATATTAATTTAGCACTCGCAAAGTGATTTATCAAACCTAAAAACAATTTTGCTAACGGTATCTGACTCTATATTTAACACGTTTCAAAATAAGGTGCAAATGGTCTGTATGCGTAATTGCGCACACATGGCAGCGGTTATTGTCGCAAGAAGGAGACATCGAAATGAAGCAAGGAGACGCAGAGAATGCATTTTTTCACTCCGTGTGAATATTTTTGGAATGAACGAGGAAACGATCATCAAAACATGTCGTTTATCCAGCATTGCCATTTTGGAGCTGTTGGGGGAACTCCGAATGGATTTGGAGCCAGCCACAAGGAGGACCCACGCAATACCAGATATCACAAAACTCCATGCAACGTTGCACTTTTTTGCATCTGGGTCATTCCAGCGTACGGTTGCAGCAAGAGCTGGGATCTCCAAATCTCGTTTTTCAGAAGTGCTGTCCGAAGTGCTGTCCGACGGGGTCGGGGTTCTCCACCTGCGCCTGTGGAGCAACATGCCAATGCTGCGGGGATGCGTAATCTCATCCACAGTCACTTCTTGTGAGCCGTTTGGTATGTGCATTTTTCTACAGGCCAATACAAAACACCTGTTTTTTTTTTTGTTGTTGTTTTTTTTTTTTTTACTGCAGTGAAGTAGAAATTCAGCCACATACCACCTTAGGGAATAAAGGTTGCCAAAGTTTTTTCTTTATATCACTGTAAGATTTAAATTTCTTAATGCACTAGTTTGTAGAAACTACAAACTACTTTGCCGCAAACCACAAAACGCGCAAAACCATCATTTAAATAGGGCGTCTCCAACAGTTTTGCACCTGCCACCAGTTACGCAATCGCTCTTGTTAAATCACCCGCAAACCATGGTCCAGCCCCTCGCGCAAAATTCCAGTTTGCGAGCGCAAATTACTGCACGCAAAATTGGATCTTGATAAATCCGGCCCTATGTCGTCAAAAGTGGCCTGCTGTCATATTCCAAAACATTGAGGGGCTGTTTATTTTTACAGCAGTGCATTCCGACAGTAGCGATCGAGGGGCTAAAGCTAAAAGTCACATGGTTAGTGACCCAAGGTGGCAAAAGTTAAACGGTGTTGCTTTAAATCAAATACTCAGATTCTGCAGTATGCAATTTGGATGTTTGATTGTTGCTTTCATGACACCTAACTTTCTATAGTCAAAGGTAAGTTGTGCAGCATGTCACAGCATTTGTGCCCCAGTGTAAATCACAGGATCAGTAAAAAAAAAAAAATAATAATAAAAAAAGCTGCCATCCTCTGCTGTAATTGATTTCGGCAAGGACTTTTTCAGAGCACATTCTGTGAGAACACAGACAGTCTTATCTGGCACCATACAGCCTCTTCAGCAGGATGTCAGCCCCTCTTACTCTTCAAGCTGATGCTGGGGGAGGCGATTACACCCAGTGGCACTTGCTGAGCTGCATGGTATTGGAGAAAGTGTTCAGATAGCCAATACAGATTTTTATCTATTGGCTTTTATCCATCATGGAGCATTACTGCTGAGCAAAAAACTCAAAATATTCAAGTGACACATCAAGAATTCTGCAAAATCTTTTTGTGTTTAGTTTTGTTAAGAATCTGCACATAATTTTGTAGCAAAAAAGAACTCTAATATTTGACTAAAATAGTGTAATATTCTATTTTGTTAATGCCAACTTAAATATGTATGAAATATTTATATTCAATGATTGATATTTTTATATAAAAATATAACCATGTTGACACCCTGTCTAGAATGTTATGTGAGACATTCTGTCACTTTCCAAGACAATCTTTAAACGTGTACAATAGTATTTTTTTTATTTTTATTTTTTTTTATAAATCTTAATTGTAATAGAAAACCGTGAAAACTTAATTTCTTCGGAGTACAAAGACTAAAAACCAAAACAAAAAACATATACAGAATTTGGTTGTCAACATAGAAATAAACTGTGGAAAAGATATGTTAAAAATCATATTCATTTCAATCAAATCAGTTTTCCTACAATAGTACATCAACAGAATGTTTATAGTGGTGCAGAATAAAAGTATTCAACTCAGTTTATGTATATAGGGACAATCCACAAGACATGTCATCTCAAGGCACTTTACAGAGACAATTCAACCAGATCATACAGTCAGATTGGTTCAAAGTTTTCACTAGGATTGCATCATTGATTCGACAGCAATCCCTCACCTCAAGCATGCATATAGCGACAGTGGACAGGAAAAACTCCCTTTTAACAGTAAGAAACCTCCAGCAGACCTACAGTAGGCTAAGTGTAAGAGGCCATCTGCTGAGGCCGACTGGGGTTCAAGGAGACAGAAGCAGAGATACAGAAAGAAGCAGAGTTACAAAAGGCAACTGTCAACCAGCTCCACAGGTGACCCTGTTCATGAAACACACAGCCAGGCAGACAAGCTCCAAGCCAGCTCCCATGTCAGAGGATGAAGTAGAGCACATGGAATTAGTCACAGTCAGAGAAACAGGACTACCGTATTTTCACGACCATAAGGCGCACCGTACTAAAAGGTGCAGTCTCAGTTATGCGCGCCATTTCTGTATTTAACACACACATAAGGCGCACCGGACTATAGGGCGCGTTTTTTATATACCGGTACATGTCCTCTACTACCTTTAAATAGCTCTACTGCGTATTTAAAAATACAGCGGGGGCAAAACTGAGTATGACTGTGCTTTATTCATGTATTTATTACAAAGTATTAATCAAACCTGGAAGCTGGCCGTGAGACAGACACATCGCAGATGACAGAGCGCTGTGATCACTCCTAAATTAACTTGAAATCCTGAAACCTGCCGACGGAATATGTTCGCTTTTATTACCAGGATCCTGGTGCCTACAGTTTAAATTATTTAGATGAAAAACACCTGCCAGCCACCACAGTGAACCCGGAGGCGACCCGGCCCAGAGGCTGCTGTTGAAGGGATTTCTACTGTCGGTGCACCGCTGGTATGTGGGGGTCTGAGCGGCTCCGACAGAAATAGTATAGGCACGATGATAATCTGGATGAACTGACTGCAATTATGAAGTTTTCAGGTGGACTTTCTCACTTAAAAACATATTAAAACTACTTTATTCCCACTGATCACAGCAAATATAGTTGCAAGATTTAGATTATTTAGATGAAAAACACCTGCCAGTCGCCGTGGTGAACCCTGCCCAGATGCTGCTGTTGAATTAAGTTTTCAGGTAGAAAAATAGAGCGGGAGCAAAACTGAGTATGTTTGTGCTTTATTCATGTATTTATTACAAAGTATTAATCGAACCCATCAAAGTCATCATCCTCTGTTTCTGAATTAAACAGCTGCGCTAAATCAGACATGCCAATTTCCCCTTCTTCGCTGTCAGAGTCACTTTCCGTGCAGCGCGGCTCCTCAGAAATAATGCCTGCTTTTGCGAAAGCTCAAACAACAGTGCCAGCAGACACGTTAGTCCAAGCATCAACAATCCATCCGCAAACTGTGGCGTTAATTGCCCGGCTCTGTATTCCACTTTTCCCCGTTGGTCATCCATCGCTCCCACGCCGCTCGCAGCCTTACTTTGAACGGCCAGTTCACACCGATGTCGAGCGGCTGAAGTCTCTTTGTCAGACCTCCCGGGATAACAGCAAGCACATCGTTTATTTGTTTCACCATGTTTTTCACATCGGCTGTGAGATGGGCACGCATGGAGTCACAGATTTAGCGATGGTAATGCGTGGAAAAAAACCACCTGGTCTCCTCACATACACCTCCCTCAGCCACGCTTTCATCATCTCCTCATCCATCCAGCCCTTTCATTTGCCTTAATATCATATGTCATCAGAGCGATGTGTCTGTCTCGCTGTCAGCTCCCAGATCAGTTTCTCTGATTGGTTGATGCGGCGCGTCCAGCAGCAAAACTTCAATTTTTCCATCTCGAGCTGCAGCAGCGCGTTGGCGGTGCGTCAGATGCTTAAACGACGCGCTGCGCCTGCTGCACAAAACGCGCCGCGGGACCTTTTGCTGCGCCTATACGCGCGTCAACCATTGACTTTGCATGTAAACTCGCTGCTTCTGCTGCGCCTGCTGCGTCCGGTTCACACCGATGTTGAGCAGTTGAATAACAGCAAGCACAGTGTTAATTTGTTTCACCATGTTTTTCACATCAGCTGTGAGATGGGCACGCACGGAGTCACAGAATAACAGCAATAGTGATGAGTGGAAAAAAAACACCTGGTCTCCTTACATTCAGCCACTCTTTTATCATCTCCTCAATGAGGTGGTCTCAAAAGTCGCAGTTACAACACACATAGGGCGCACCGCACCAAAGGGCGCACTGCACATTTTGAGGGGAAAAAAAGACGTTTATGTGCGCCTTATAGTCGTAAAAATACGGTACACTGAAAAAACAGGCCAAACTCCAACATCTATAAACAAAGATGTTGATGGCAGCAAAACATCTGATATTTCTCTCTCGGAACCACA